GGCAAGGGTTCACTGTACTTTAGAATTTGAGCTCTAATACAAAAATTAAAAACAAGAGTTTAGGGGGGTATTGAATTGATGTCAATGGTGGTGGAATAATTTGAAAAAGTAGATTAATAATGGTTGTATAACACAAAGTATCATCAAAGGCACTGAATTATACAAATAGAAGTTGTGGAACTGGAGAATGATTTATTGTGTATATTTTTGTCACAATTAGAAAAAAATTACATGGATAACAATGAATACGAGGAAGAAAATGTTCTGGAATATGGTGACAATTGTACAATTCTTTTTTTTAAATCATTTTATTAGGGGCTCATACAACTCTTATCACAATCCATACATACATCAATTATTTAAAGCGCATTTTGTACAATTCTTCTTGATGTGATTGAATTATTGAAGTATGACATGTGAATGAAGTGCTAATAAAACTGGGGGGAAAAATCAGAGAAATTATTTTCCTAGATAAAACCCTAGAGCAAGATCCCCTGGATCCAAGAGGTTGACCTTGCAGGATGTGCTGCTGGAGGTACATACAGTAACAGGTGGATGGTGACTTTAAACCTGAGCAGAGGGGGAAAGAAAGTCAGGGTGGGGAGTGGGCTGGATTAATGTTTGAGGGAACCCAGATGGCGAGTGGCTCCCGATTCTGGGAGCGGGTGGCAGTGGGGGCCACATACAAGCAGCTACTTGCTCATTAGATGCAACCCCCCAATACCCAAGTCTACTTATCCTGGAGCACCCTGAGCCTGGAGGGGGCGCCCAAGCAGAGCTGCCCAAGCACAGCGCTAACCCGAGGAGAAGTGGGGATGCGTGAAGCCGGAGGAGAGCAGGGAGGAAGTTTAGAACTCCCTGCGGTGAAGAGTGAGGGATAAGCCCCGGAGCCCTGAGCCTCCTCCCTTTGGGGATTGGGGCCATGAAAACCATTAGGGGGAAATAAAAATTCAAGAGATGTTTTCCCTTCAAGAAAAACCAAACCTCATTTTGATTCCTTAGAGAGGAGTCTTTTATCTTTTTTTTTAAAAAATCATTTTATTGGGGCTCTTACAGCTTTTATCACAATCCAAACGTCCATTGTGTCAAGCACATTTGTACATTTGTTGCCATCGTTTTCAAAATATTTCCTACTTGAACCCTTGGTATCAGCTCTTTATTTTTTCCCTCCCTCCCTCACCCTCCCTCCTTTATGCACCCTTGATAAATGATAAATTATTATTAGATTCATATCTTATATCGTCCACTGACTCCCTTCACCCATTTTTCTGTTGTTCGTCATGCTGGGGTATGGGGGGGATGGGGTTATATATTGATTATTGTGATCGTTTTCTCCTTTCTCCCACCACCTCCTCCGTACCTTCCTGGTATTGCTACTCTTATTATTGGTCCTGAGTTTCTGGATTCCCTGTGTTGCCAGCTCTTATCTGTACCAGTGTACATGCTCTGGTCCTAGCTGGCTTTGTAAGGTAGAATTGGGCTCATGGTAGTGGTGGTGGTGGGGGAAGCATTAAAGAACTAGAGGACAGTTGTATGTTTCATCAGTGCTATACTGCACCATGATTGGCTTGTCTCCTCCCCGTGGCCCTTCTGTAAGGGGATGTCCATCTACAGATGGGCTTTGGGTCTCCACTCCACCCTCCCCCTCATTCACATGGATATGAATTTTTTGTTCTGGGTCTTTGGTGCCTGATACCTGATCCCATCGACTCCTCATGATCACACAGGCTGGTGTGCTTCTTTCATATGGGCTTTGTTGCTTCTCAGCTAGATGGCCACTTGTTTATCTTCAAACCTTTAAGACCCCAGACACTATATCTTTTGATAGCCAGGCACCATCAGCTTTCTATACCACATTTGCTTATGTACCCATTTTATCTTCAGCAATCATGTAGGGAAGGTTAGCATCACAGGATGTCAGGTTATTAGAACAAAATGTTCTTGTGTTGAGGGAATACTTGAGTAGAGGCTCAATGTCCATCTGCTACCTTACTACTTAACATATAAATATATGTACATAGATCTATTTCCATACTGTTATGTATACATGTATTTACATATGTACATGCCTGTATTTAGACCTCTATAAATGTCCTTTGCCTCATTATTTTCTCCACTTCCTTTTACTTAACATATAAATATATGTACATAGCTCTATTTCCATACTGTTATGTATACATGTATTTACATATGTACATGCCTGTATTTAGACCTCTATAAATGTCCTTTGCCTCATTATTTTCTCCACTTCCTTTTACTTAACATATAAATATATGTACATAGATCTTATCAGAGCAGATAGCTGAGCAGCTGGTGTTTTTGAATCATCAATCTTGAAGTCAGCAGTTCAATGCTTAACCTGCTGAGGGGACCATAGACCTATATTTGGTCCTATGGACACTGCCTGGAGCACTTTAAGAGACATCCACCTGTAGCAAGTAGGCAAAAACAACAGCAAGAATAACTGCTAGGCATATGAAGTAAGAGCCCTGGTGGTAGAGGGGGTTACACATTGGGTTGATAACTGCAAGGTAAGCAGTTCCAAACCACTAGTTCCTTCATGGGAGAAAGAAGAGGCTTTCTACTCCTGTAAATAATTACAGTCTCAGAAACCCACAGGGGTGGTCCAATTGTGTCCTGTGAGTCAGATGTGAGTTGGAATCTGAGTCCAACTAGACTCTATGGTTGTTTGCTTGTTTCATGCATTTGAGAACATTTCACAGCTGGGGGAGCTGAGGCAATCTCGGATAGAAGAGTTTGGCCAAGTGACTCAGAGGCAGAGCATGCTGAGCCTGGGCTGCCCTTCCTTGAGTGGTGCTCCTCCTCCGAACAAGTATGACCTTGATTTCCTTCTATTATTAATTTTCCCCCTTAAATTGAATCAATGCTTTCTAATAAATTTAATCCATTTAAAGTTTACCTTATAATTTCTGCATTTAATTGGCAAATTTTATCGAGTCTCCAGAGGCCAGTGTCCCCCCTCCCCTTCCCCCCACCCTTGTCAAGGAGCAGACTTTAGGAAGTGATATTTGTGTTTCACAGGGAATAACTACATATATCCTTGGATGCCTAAGAGCTGGCTTCAGCCTGATGGTAGATTCTACCATCATGGTAGGGAAGTTGTCCTCAGTATTTTCTTTTTTTTTATATATCTTTCAGGGATTTCCTACACCAGCCTTTTTGTAAGGAGTCCTGGGATTCATCAGCTTGTGCCTACTTCCTCCTGGGAAATACACCCCAATAGGGCTGGCAAAGGGGGAGGAACCTGTAGCTGCCCTGCTGGCTCTCATTTCCTGATCCCAGTGGGATGAGAGCGCTTTGGGAGCCTTTCATTAGCATGTCCAGAGCTGGCCACTCTGGGCTCGCCTCCAGGATGGCTCACGGGGCTAGCCCAAGTCTCACACAGACAGGTGCTCCTTCTCGTGGTGTTTAATAATATGCTATCTTCTTGCTTTTTCTTTTTAATAAAAGAAGTAGATTCAAGCTGATAACACTGTCTGGTCAGGTTAAATAAGAGTTTGGCTTTCACTAAACACACTCTCCCCACCCCTAATTTTTCTTTATTTTATTATTGAAAACCTCAAACATAAAACATACTCCAATTCAACAGCATCTGCATGTGACATTCATTGATTTATATTCTTCACGTTGGACAGTCGTTTGCAAATTGGAATTCATTTCTGACCTTTGAGTCATGGGGATTTCCTAAACACCTGTCCTATCGCTGAATCTTAGGAAAACATTTTGTCTTGCAGTGTGTCAGGGCTGACAAGTATCCAGGGCTTGCATCTGCAGTGACAGGATGAATTGGGGGACCTTTAAAAGATGATTGATAATTGGTTGATGCACATGTTCTATTTTATGTCTTGAACAGCACCTAATACCACCAC